GTTTAACTTTTTAAGACACTACCAGACTCTTTTACAAAGAGGCTGAGCCATTTTCCATTCCTACCCGGCCATGTACATGGGTTCCAATTTTGCTACATCCTCCGACACTTGTTATGTGCATGTTAATTCATATTTAAATAATCAAGTTTAAATATCTAATCTTAGGCATAAATATTGGTCATACAAGGAGATCTTCTAGGGAGTCAAGAAACCAAAGAACCAGACTATTAGTTTATAATAAAGAAATGATTAATTTAAAATTAAAGGGGAAAGAATATATTAAATATTTCAATTAAAGACTTATCTGCACTCTACCTCATCCCAAAAAGAATTTGATGTGGCTTACAGAGGTACTTATGATATCAGGTTTCCATACCACCTGCATCAGAGTAACTGGGAGCACTTGTTAAATAATGTATGTAGCCTGGCCCTACCAAATTGAAGATATCAGAATCTCAGGGCATTAAAAGGGGCATACATCTGGAATCTGCATTTTAAATATGCCCAATGAGTGACTTTTATGTAAACTGAAATTGAAAACCACTGGTGTAACTAGACCAAAAAATCTCTTTAGTCAAATGAGGGGTAGGCTCTCACCATGAGCATGGTGAGCGCTGTGAATTGTGCAAGACTGTTGAATCACAGATCTGTACTTCTGAAACAAATAATGCAACATATGTTAAGAAAAAAGAAAAAGAAGATAGCAGGAGGGGAAGAATGAAGGGGAGTAAGTCGGAGGGGGAGACGAACCATGAGAGAGGATGGACTCTGAAAAACAAACTGAGGGTTCTAGAGGGGAGGGGGGTGGGGGGATGGGTTAGCCTGGTGATGGGTATTAAAGAGGGCACGTTCTGCGTAGAGCACTGGGTGTTATGCACAAACAATGAATCATGGAACACTACATCAAAAACTAATGATGTAATGTATGGTGATTAACATAACAATAAAAAATTTAAAAAAAATAAAATACTTGTGATTAAAGGCTTTGCTGTGGGGCAGAACTCTCTGTTCTGTGTAAAGAGATGTGGTTCTCATTTTCATTCTTGCAAGCTAATATAATTTAAGATTACGTGTTTTTTCAATTTCTGGATTTGCTTGTAGATTTTTTTAGCATATATTTAGATCACCGATATATATACCGAAAGCTTCAAGAAATGTGTCTCAGCATTTCATTGAAATGATGAGAATTTCATTAAAAAACCTGAGAATAGACCCAACTGAGTAACCAAGTTCATGTTTCCATCATTAAAAGTCTGTTCCTTACAAATGCTTTTTAATATGTGCTTCCATGTTTAAAATGTTAAGGCGTGGGACTTCATTGTTCTTTCTTTAGGTTGGTGTTTGGTAAATTGGTCACTTCAGTGTTTCTCTTCACTTTTGGGGGATCAAGGATTTCATTAGAAAACTATGAATCCCTTACCTCCCTCAAATAACTAATGAATCTCCTACTGCCCCCCCAGTTTTGAGTAAATTTCTAGGGTCCCACAGATATGAGGTTGAGAATATCAAGATGTTTAAACCTCTTTCCTCTTCTCTACATCTGTAAGTTCTTTCTGCCAGGTAAAAATTGTCCCATTATTTTTATTACACAGTGAAAACCACATTTATACCCAATGCATAAAAAACCCCAAGACTCCCAATAATTTCAGTCACTCAAAACATATTATTTATGCAAAAGAAAGCAGAAAAGGTCTTTTTACAGAATAAAAGGCTGCTACAGAAAGAGAGCTAGAGATGCAACCTTGAGAATTAGTAGGCCACAGATTAAACACAGGAAGACACATTGACAAAGATGAAAGAGTGGAATGTGACGTGATAGCAAAAGAATAGAGGGTTTAATTTTACAGTAACTGTGTGTTCTCATTTAATGAGACTAAAAGCATGACCGCCTTTGGCGGTCCCCAAGTAGACTCCTTTTGCAGCAATGAGTGTATGTCTGCATACTGAAGACCTGCTCATCAAGAAAAGACAGTGCTGACTATAACATGTTTATGGAATGTGTAATTCATTTTAGAAAGATTTCTGTGAGCATTAGAAAACTGCCCCATAAACATAAGAAATGAATAATGATAGATTACTAGGACATTTGCTGATATTAAAAACTCCAAGAGATTGTTCTTTTCTACAGTGGTCTTTAAGATGCTTCCGACTTGGAATTATGCCTATTTTGCTTAAGTGATTATTTATGTCCGTGAAGCTTCACAACACTATTCCGATCTGTCCACCATTGGGGTACAATCTTCCTTGCACTAGTAAAAAGGCAAAGGTACTTGTCTTTCTTGAGAGGCTTTTCTAGCAGCTGTATCTCTGGTAACCCAAGGAACACATTTGCATGATGACTGATGGTGTTAGTGTAAATGTGGTTTGTGGTCAGAAGTAGAGCAATACTCTGAATGTAAATGAGACACAGCTGCCACATTTGTAAAAATAAGATATCTAGTAAAAATGTCAGGCTTTTTATGACCCCTATGCATGTGGGATGCTAAGGGAGTACTAACAGTTCTCTTCTGGCTTCACAAAGAAAGTCACGGTCATTTGTACTATTCAGAAAATAACGATGTAAATTTAAGCAATCTTACCAGGGCAATACATTATAAAATATGACAACAGAATAAAATACAGTGATTGAAATCAAAGACTTCATGGAGTTTCAAATTGATTTTCACATCAATATGTGAAATAGCGTGTTATATGATATCTAGTAAAAATGTCAGGCTTTTTATGACCCCTATGCATGTGGGATGCTAAGGGAGTACTAACAGTTCTCTTCTGGCTTCACAAAGAAAGTCACGGTCATTTGTACTATTCAGAAAATAACGATGTAAATTTAAGCAATCTTACCAGGGCAATACATTATAAAATATGACAACAGAATAAAATACAGTGATTGAAATCAAAGACTTCATGGAGTTTCAAATTGATTTTCACATCAATATGTGAAATATGTGTTATAGCAACACTCTCTAAAATCTGGGCTTTTTACAGAACTGCTTTGTTAGAAATTACATTTGCAAGAGCAATTTTTGGCATGTGACTTATTTTATAACTAAGTTTGTACCTTTTGACCTTCTTCACCCATTTCATCCGCCCCTCCCCCCCTCATCCCTTCCGTCTGGCAATCCCCAATCTTTTCTCTGTATCTATGAGCTTGTTTTCATTTGCTTTGGTTTTTCTAGATTCCACATATAAATGAGATCATATGGTATTTGTCTTTCTCTGTCTGATAACATTTCACTTAGCATAATACCCTCAAGTTCCGTCCATGTTACAAATGGCAACGTTTCCTTCTTTTTTATGCCTGAATAATATTCCTGTGTGTGTGTGTGTCTGTGTGTGTGTGTGTTTGACATTTTCTTTCTCCATTCATCCATCAGTGGACACTTAGCCAGTTTCTACATCTTGTCTATTGTAAATAATGCTGCAATGAACATGGGGGTGTATGTATCTTTTTGAGTTGATGTTTTCATTTTCTTTGAATGATTACCCAGAAGGAAAATTGCTGGGTTAGGTATGGTGGTAGTTCTGTTTTTTTGAGGGATCTCCATACTGTTTTACATAGTGAGCAAGAGCAATTTTATGAGATTTGCTTTTCTGCTAACACCTGGGAAAGAGGAAATATGTCCATACATAACCTTGTACATGAGTGTTCATAGCAGCTTTATTTGCATTGGCCAAACCCAAATGTCCTTCACCAGGTGAATAGGTAACACACTGTCCCTACAATGAAATACTAGTCTTCGATGAAAAGGGAAGAACCCCTGATAATGCAGCAACATGGATAAATCTCAAAGATCTCAAATAATTAGACTGAGTGAACAAAGCCACACAAAAATGAGCTGTGGAGTGAAAGAAAGATCAGCGGCTACCTGGAGGAGGGGAGAGAAGTGAGAGGGAGGGCTTACAAAGAGGACTAGAAAACTTCTGAAGGTGATGGATGTGTTCACTGTTTTGATTGCAGTGATGACTTCACAAGAGTAACACACATGTCAAAACTTACAGACTATACACTTTAAATGTGGGCAGTTTATTGTACATCAATTACTTGTCAATACACAGTTAAAAAGAAAAGGCAACACAAATCATGTTCTTGCATACATGCTCTCCTCCCTTGTTCCTCCCTTCCTGATGCATTAGCTTGGCAAAAACCAGTGTCTGCTCAGTCTGTGCCTGCAGCAATGCAGCGATGTGTGATGGGCAAAAAATAAACCCACAGCACCGACCAGTGACACTTGAAGTTGCCTGTAGGAGAAAGGCATACAGTACAAAGCCAATTATTTTGTTCAAAAATTATATCTATGAACAGTATTAAAAGAAAAAAAACATTTGGGGGGACCACCTGGGTGACTCAGTTAGTTAAGCATCCGACTCTTGATCCCGGCTCAGGTCTCGATCTCAGGGTTGTGAGTTCAAGCCCTGAGTTTTTGTTTTTGTTTTTGTTTTTGTTTTTTTAAACCTTTGGAAGATTAGAAGCCAAAAAATTGAGTGGCAGCTATTTCCTAGTGGGTTATAGGTAATCATTCTTGTTTATATTTTGCTGTTTGAGTGAATTTTTTATAAGGAGCAGTGATTACTTTTATAATCATTAAAACTAAAATAATCTGGGGGCGCCTGGGTGGCTCAGTCGGTTAAGCGTCTGCCTTCGGCTCAGGTCATGATCTCGAGGTCCTGGGATCGAGCCCCGCGTCGGGCTCCCCGCTCAGCGGAGAGCCTGTTTCTCTCTCTCCCTCTGCTGCTCCCCCTGCTTGTGCTCTCTATCTGTCTCTCTCTGTGTCAAACAAATAAATACATAATCTTTAAAAAAAAAAACAAAAAACTAAAATAATCTGTTTCTATTTTAAAATACCAGACCGTCATGGCTCTGGGCTGCGTTTGCTATAGGTAAGCGAGGGCCTGGTAATAGGACAGTGTGCAGAGAGTTGCTTTGGAGCACCGAGCGCTTTGCAGGTGTGTGTTTCAGCCGCCCTCACATCTTTCCACACCGCTTTCCCTCCCATCTGTAGCTAGAAGACGAAATCACAACGTTACGGCAAGTCTTATCAGAGAAAGAAAGGCATCTGGTTGAGATAAAACAGAAACTCGGCATGAACCTGATGAATGAATTAAAACAGAATTTCAGCAGAAGCTGGTACGACGTGCAGACCACGACTGCGTAAGTATCCCAATGGAATGTTTAAAAAATCACTGCTGTCTCTCACCTCTTCTCGGTATGTATGTATGTATTTATCTATCTATCTATCTATCTATCTATCTATCTATCTATCTATCTATCTATCTATCTATCCTATGAGGCTGATTTGGTACTTGTGGCTAGGAAAAATATTTTCTCTAGAAATAAAATAAATGTGAATAATCATTAAATACATTGCATGATGCAGACTCTAAAAAGTAGCTTCATGAAATTAAACTGTTCACCAGACGACTTTTATGGGCTTGTATTTTTTCTCTGTATTCTATATTTTTAAGCATTTGTTAAATAGATTTTTTTTTCTTTATGTTTTCTCATACAATTCTAAACGGACAGATGCTTTTTCCTCAGAATACTTGGGATTCACTATGGATTTTCAGTTTCTATACCAAGTGGTTGGCAGGTTTAGTACAGACTTGTTGCCCATTAATTTAAAAAGAAGTGCTTATACTTTGGGGATATGCTTTTCATCCCTTCTACTCTAGGGAATATTTAGAGCTGGGATAAGGCCATGTGAGATAATAGAAAAAAATATATATATATATGTGTGTGTGTGTGTATTGCTCTCTATCCCTGGTTCCTGACACAGAGTCCCTAAATCTCTTGGAATTTCCAGAATAGCAGCAGTATCCTTTGTTCTAATGAGGTGACTCTCAGTGGCTCTGGGATGGGGGAGCTGGTCACCAGAAAGACCAAGCCATGATTAGAAGCTTGGACTTGCAGCACTGTGCCTTATCCTCCAGAGAGGGGAGAGGGGGCTGGAAATGGAGTTAATGACTGGTCATACCCTTATGATGATACCTCCATAAAAATCCCCAAAACATGGCATCCAGAGAGCTTCTGAGTTGATGAACACAGAGAGGTGCTGGGAGAGGGGTGCACCAGAAGAGAGCATGGAAGCCCCACAGCCCTGCCCACATACCTCGCCCTGTCTGTATCCTTTGTCATATCCTTTTATAATAAGCCAGTCATCTAGTAAGGAAACACTTTCCTGAGTTCTGTAAGCCACTCTAGCAAATTAATCAAACTCGAGAAGGAGATCCTGGGAACCTCCAATTTATTGCCCATTGGTCAGAAGCACACAGGTGATAACCTGGACTTGCCATTGGCATCTGAAGTGGGATGAGGGGGGTGCTCTTGTAGGATTGAGCCCTTCACCTGTGGGAGCTGACACTCTCTCCGGGTATGCGGTGCCTTAAAATTTAGGACACCCAGCTGGTGTCACAGAATTGCTTGGTGAGGGAAAAAGCATGTTTCTGATGTCGGATGTGTTGTGAGTGTGGTAGTCGGCCCAAGAGCAAAGGAAACAACAGGAAAAGTGAGTTTTTCCTGCTCACACCACCAGAAATGGTTTTGGCTTCCCCATTATCTTTTTGTCTGATATTAGGCAAGATACAGAATAACTTTGGGTATTCTGCAATCATACTTTTATTGGATTACTTTTTAAATACATGAAATATTCAACTATTGTGGTGCTTCTCTAATGATTTAAAATATTTTACTTGCCAGGTGTTCTCATATCAAAGGGAAGAAGGTACCCACATCATGATGTAATTTTTCTTTTTTCGTGAGTTGGGGGCTAGAGGCTGATGGAGAAAGTTCCTATCCCTAGCCCTAACATTAGCCCCTAGTTTTTGTCTTCGTGTCATGCATTTTCTTCCCTGGCATTATCCATTGGATGGCAAAGTTATTACATTCCTAATATTTTAGTGGAAATCAGTTTTTCTCCCGGACATAGATAGGCCTGGCAATAGGAGTAAGTACCAGTGATGAACAGCAGTTACTTCCGTTTTGCTGGCGGTCAGCTTTGCATGCTGGTTACTGAAAACTAAGCCCTAAGACCTCAGTGAAGGTGCCCTTCGTATGAAGAGTTCCATCTAAAAGGAACTTGACGTCTCCCCACTCTGCTTCCCCTCGGCTCCATGTAAAGGAGAATGTTCTTTTCCCCTATCACAGCCTGGTAGTCCTGTCTGCTCCTATGCTTGTGTCCCCCAAGAGCTCATCCAGACTATGTCAGGGCACAGCCCAGAGTAGGGCAGGATGGAGCCAGGGAGCCCATCGAGTTATCTCCAGAGGCAGATTAACCTTCTCCAACCCGATGGTGACAATTATGGAAGACGATAAGAGACTGCATGGTGGTGTTTATCAATTTAAAATAGATATTGCCACACTATATGAACAATCTCCTATACAGTAGAGCTGGATTTTAGGCGCTTAATTCAATGAGCTTCTCCGTCAGTAGTTTTGGCTTCTGTCTTTGCACTTTGGTGCCTTAGACCACTTAGTGGCCCTGACAGAGTGAGGCGGAGCGAGCTCCAGTATCCCGGTCCTGGGCACCTCCTGCCACACTGATCTGCACTTCCTTCGGGGGTGTAAGACCCAGGCAGGATCTTTCTGCTTGGCCTCCCTAACCACACTGCAGGAGTGGGCCAAGCAAACAGAGGGCAGGACGACTCTGGCTCCCCCGTTGCTGATGGGAGGGACGGAGCAGCCCGTATCTGGGCAGAGGGTACATCAAGTTTGCCCTAGGTCTGAGGGGGCAGGGTGGGGAGAGATTCACAGTCGTCGGAGACGTGGAATTAGAGTGAGCAATTTCAAGGAGGGTGGGTAGCCTCCTCCCACATGGGAGAATATATGGTCTCTGGGTTTTCTCATGTTTGAAATACAAGTTGGTTTTATAGTCAGGCAGTCTAGTTAGTATCAAGCTTTTTGTCGAATGAATAGATTTATTCCCTAGGGTTACAGAGTTGAAAGATTAGTCAGGAAAACAGAGTTTGGTTTTGTTTGTGTGTATTTTACAAGTTATTCCAAATAAGCAGTTAAATGGTAAGTAGAGGAGTGGTGTGAAGGAAAATAGAGTGTTATGTACGAAGCAGGAGATTGAACCCTGCCTGGGGTCTCAGGGAAGGTTTTTCAAGGCAAGAGATGGATGCTTCAGCAGGCCCAGGGGGGGCAAGGGGAGCCTCCTGGGGGAGGCCCAGCCTGGTGACAGCCACAAGGAGAGAAGCCTCCCTCTCCCGCGGGAAAGCAGTCCAGTTCATTAGCGTTGTGGCGACAGCAGGGAGAAGTGGCCGGGGCTTGCACAGGGCCTCGTGGTATCTGTTAATAGAGTCATTCTTACTTCAGAGGCACTAGAAAGCCATTCAAAGGGTCGTGACAGTTCATTTACCCAACAAGTCTTTACGTGTGTCTACTATTAGTCATTATTACCCAGGAGCTAATCTGAGCCCTCGGGATGTGGGACTCAACAAGATGGACAAAGTTCCTAGCTTCTTAGAGTGTTGAAGGAGAAAGGAGCATGAAACCTGTGACAGAGCCACCGTAGGAAGAGCTGTCAGGAGTACTGTGATGAGAACAATGCAGGATGACAGGCTAGAGGAGAGGGCAGGGGCCACTGTGACAGAGTCCCAGTCAGGGAAGTCCTTCCTAGTGCTGTCCCGGGAGGTCACTCTGAGCTGACACCCGAGTGACCAGAAGGATCCCGTCTTGTGATGATGTAGGGGAGAGCTTTGGGGCTGAGGCAAAAGTTGCTGCAAAGACCCTGAGGCCAGAAGAGGTTTTGCAGGGTAGTGAGAGGGGTGGAGGTCTGGGCCTGGGGGGCCTCCCAGACTGTGGTGAGGACTGGGGATCTTATTCTAAGGGCTCTGGGTGCCACTGGAGGATTTGAAGCAGGAAGTAATCTGTTCCGATTCACCTTTAAAAAAAAAAAAAAAAATCACTCTGGTTTCTTTGTGTTACACAGAATGGGGAGAGGTGGGAGCAGAGACCAGAAGATCCTTTCTGAGACTATTGTAGTAGTCCACGTCGGTGATGATAGTGAGGGACAGAGAGGGGACAGGATCTGGAGGCCAGGCCAGGGGGATTTCCCAAAGGTTTGGGGGTGAGAGAGGAGGCAAATAGAGGGATAAAACGTGGCTGTCGGGTCTTTGACAGGGGCAGCCAATTGAGCATTGGGCATTACATGCATCACGGCTAAGCCCATGGGCTCTGGACTCCAGTTGCTTGGATTGAAATCTAGGTCCCCAGCATGGGTGAGATGAGATCCTATTAGTACCTATCTCATAGGTAGTGAGGATTCAATGAGTTAATATTTGTAAAGCAGGCAGAATGGTATCTGATACCTTGTAGGCCTGTTTGCTGTTCTAGAAAACAAGTCTGGTGGGGAGACTCAAGAATTCTGTTTTGGTGGGGAGCCTGGGTGGCTCAGTCGTTAAGCGTCTGCCTTCGGCTCAGGTCATGATCCCAGGGTCCTGGGTTCGAGCCCCATATCGGGCTCCCTGCTCAGCGGGAAGCCTGCTTCTCCCTCTCTCACTCTCTGAGCTTGTGTTCCCTCTCTCTGTCAAATAAATAAAATCTTTAAAAAAAAAAAAAAAGAATTCTGTTTTGGTGACAAACAGGTTTCTATGTCAAGAGGGCCACTCGGAGGAAGAGTCAGGGATGGAAATAAACATGGGGAGTCATCTGTGTATTGATGTCATTGAAAGCTACAGGACTACACGAGAGTTCTAAAGACACTTTAATAAATGTGGATGATCATGGACTCCTCACTCGTTTAGGAATGATGTGAGCCTACCTTTATAAGGAAGAATCAATCCTTTCTTAAGAGGGAGGCATAAGTATATCAGTAACATAATTTCAGGAGTGCACCTTTCTCCCACCCTCTTTTCTTGGCTGCCGAGGTGGGGGTGGGGAAAGGTCTTAATCACATGGTGGTGGTGGGGGGGGCTTGGTTACAGAATCTGTTTTCCCTGTGAATTAATTAAATCCCTGCTGTTAGTGCCATGATGCCCATTCTAGGACAAGATCTACACCTCATAGGATGAAAATTTTGATGTGAGGAAATGAGGAGCTGGGTAGGGTTAGGTTGGGTAGAATTAAATTTCAAAGCCCTAAAAAGAATTTTAGCTGTCAGAGGATTGAAGGTAATTCCCAGAGGCAATACTTTGCATACTGATTAAGCAATC